TATATATGCAAGGATATATGAACACAAGGGTAAACAATGTAAACAAGATAGTGGATGATATAGATAATGAGCTAATGACAATGGCGATATAAGATATGAACATAAATATGAATGAACGCCAAAGCACACTCAAACAAGCAATATGATCACGGAGTTCGGACCTTCCGTCCTACGTCTCCGCTCCCCACTCCCGGGGAGAAATCCACTAACACAATCCGGTTTGGAAGCCGGAACTTCTTCTACACACTCGGTTTTCTAGCTAACCGAAAACTCTACAACTCACACTCTTGCAATCACACTCTACACCCACACTAAGTGTTGGACCTAGCCGTATCTTCCTCAAGTGCTCGGTTACAACCTCTCCCTAGGCACGTCAACCGACGCCACTCCTCTTGGGACGATCCCCGACTCTCACCACACACTCCTCACTCGGTGTACAAGTGTATTACAAAGTGATTCTCACAATAAGCACAAATATGACAAATGATTGTTCTCAAAACAAGGTGAGAACTCAATTAAGCTCACTCTCAATGTCACAAACCCACAACCCTAAATTATACTATGAATGTAAATACAATAAGCTCAATAGGTTGTGTGTGAACAAAGAGTATCAATAAAACGATTAAACTAAACTCAATATAAATCTAGCTTATGGAAATTATAATCAAAATAATAAATTGCTAGATGAGTTTAGAAACACTTCTCTAAAGATGACAAGAGAGTGGGAGAAGAGTGAATGCTCAAACACCAAAGGATGATCTCCAATTGCTCTTGTGAAATTGATTCCTCAAAACAAACTCTCAATTTGCTTAAAAGCTTTTTAAACACACTTAAACCAAACTAAAAAATCACAAAACCGAAACACTCAATTGCTTAAAAGCTTCTTAAAACAAACTTAAACAAACACTAAACAAGTTTAAACCCTTGTTGAACTATTTTAAAACAATCTCTTGTCTATTAAAAGATATCAGCAAAGGGGTATTTATACCCTCTAAAGATCTTAGCAAAAACCCCCAAAACAAATGACAAAACAGCCCCCAGAGAAACAGCTCAGAAATAGCCGTTAGTAGCCAACGGCTATATTGTCGGGCGACCCAAAAACCCGTCGGTCGACCGATGAGAGCAAAAACACGAAGAAGTCGACCGATGGAGCTTTCGGTCGACCGGACCGGTCGACCGACAGACTCTCTGTCGCCCAGTGAAGAAAGATCAAATGATCGGTCGACCGGTGCGGTCGACCGAAAACTGATATGAAAACTGTTTATCTGATTTTGAAATGCTGTTTAAAAATATCAAATAAATTCCAAAAAATGTAAAACTTTGGGGAATGATTGTAGACATGATAATACACATGCTACAAAAACTGGTTTTCTAAAAAGACTTCCCAAATGAGAAATATCATCATTTTACAAACTAGTCCAAAACATGAAAAAATGAGATACTTGAATTTTGATGTTTTGACATAAACCAACTTTTGAAACTTTGTGAAATGTTTTTGTAGACTTAGTAAAACATGTATAAACTGATATTGAAGTCTATAAACTAAGAATACAATATTTTCACAAAATTGCATATTCTATGCAATGTTTTCAAAAACATAATAGAAAATATGAAATATAGAATTTCATATATATAACCATAAAAACTCAAAACATATGTATGTATATATATAACTATATATATGCATAGAAACCAAAACTTATATATATATATATATGACTATATATATATATACGAAGAAACCAATAAATGTGTGTGTAAATATAATATTGAGCTTAGAGTATATAACACACATAATATAATTCCTAAACTACATTACCCAAGCAATCTTGATCTTCAATTAAGCTTGACTTGGTACACTTGCGGATGAAGCTTGAACTTGGATCTTGAACTTTGAATAGCAAGGCTTCACCGACATTCCGCTAACCTCCTTTGGATATGATCGTTGAAGCTCTATTCCATCCATCCTCCAACAACGTTGTTTGTCTATAATAAATAAGAAAACACAAATACTAGACAAACAACATTAGTAGTAAATTGTTTGTTAAACATCATCAAAACAAGAAGGCCAACAAATTTATGTTTACAACTAAAGCTTTAAAGAATGACACAAAGAGTTCTGCTACAATCATTTTCAGTCTCGTATCTATTGATTTTTTTTCTTTGGCCATTTGGGGATAATCTTGCTGTTTTCCATGGATAAGGAACATCAATTGTTAAGTATTTTAAATCCTATTTGGAAATTCAGCTTTTAATCTATGTTTATTGCTCTATATAGGCAATAACCTTACCTCTTCATCTTCCATGGAATAAGCCCATTCCTTTATCTTCATGTACTTGCATATATAGATCTTTATTATAGATGACATATCTTTTATATCTTTCAACTGTTATTTATATCAGCTAGATATAGAGAACAGCTCTGGGCAGGGAGTTTGGCAGGCAGTTGAGTTTTGCTTCGGTAAATCTTTTATGTACTTCAACTGATACTGTATTTTTCGTTTCACGATAATAACAGTTTTTCATGTTTAATTATTATGATTTTTGTTGATTTCAGTTTATTATTTATATGGACTAATCTTCTATGATCTGCGGGTACTTCTTTTTATAATGAGAGGATGGTCTCTCTCACTTACCTTTGTTTCATAGAATCACAATAAAATTTTCATACGTTCAAATATTGTGTTTGTATCATGTAAATTCCGTGTTTACATAAATTTTTGGTAGCTTCTTCTGGGAAGGTTAAGAGAATTATCTTTTGAAGGTTGGACTGCTAGATAAGAAGTATGGAGCACTCAGTAACAATGGGAAACATGCTTATGAATCAAGATATAATAGAGAGAATAACAATCAGTTATAATGAGATTTAGTTGAACCCAACTGATTATATTTCCAGAATACTAATGCTCCAGCATCCACAAATAACTTTAAGCAATCATAATGTCAAATACTAATTCAATTCTGATACCTTAATCTGGAGCCTTACCTCAGGCATTCAATTTGAACATTTCATTTATGATATAAGGTTTCTCTTCATATGACCCCATTTTTAGAATGGAAAAAGGTTTAGAATGACGATGATGGAGGTTCATAATTGCACCGTTATGCAAAGCTATAGTTTAACAGAATGTGACAAAGTACATGTCGACAATCTCTTCATAGTTTATTATTTTCTTGCTATGCTGGTAATACACACTGGTGTCAGATTTCGCTATTTAATAGTGATATCTGAAGATAAATCAGGTTTTAAGGAGTCTTCTAGAAACTTCCTGTACTCCTTGCGCTGAAAGAGTCTCCTATTGTTCTCATGTCAGGTACGCCATATGGAAGTTGCAAAAGGCAACCCTTTACATGTAAACGTTATCTTAGCTTCCTCTTACATAATTATCTCCTCTTACCCCTCATCCGTAGTTTCATAATTCTTTATGCCAGGTAATTGAGAACTAATTGATTCTTTGTCATCTTGGAATTGAATACTTCATTCCTATCTTAGCGGCTTGACCAAGGATCAGTTCAAACTGTTGTATAGTGCACATTCTCATTTTCTTTGGTAATGTAAAGCCTATGTTACATGGGTACTTCTATCTGAAGCTGTATGTGTACCTGCCACATACACGTACCCGTATCGAAACTCTCCTTGTATATATGCGTACATTTATTATGGCATGTAGTCAATTACACAATACATGTTTTACTTTAATATTTGTCATACTCTTCTTCAACATTATCCTACACTTCACATCCACCTCCAAAAACTCGTTAGCCATAGGTCGGGTTTCTAACTATGATTTTACAGGGTTGTTTTGGTGTCTAGTTCAAAAAAGAACTGTTTTCCAATTTATAATCCACAGAATAAAAGAAACATAAAAATATTATAGGAATTTTAGAACTCATAACACATGAATGAAAAACAATGTTGATCCAATATAAATTATTAATGTCAATATATAATAAATGTATGCGTATATAACTATTTATATATCCGTGTTCGAGTACCCTGCCCTTTTACAAATTTTCCTTCTCCCATACTGGTTTCCATGCAACTTATTGTAAAACTGAAAGTAACACTGACAAGAATTTGTAACTTGCAAGTTACTGAATCTGTAGGAATTCCTGAGTACACCCATTAGAGATAACTTATAGATGTCGAGTCCTCTTCCAGCAAGCCCAGATAGATACAACTTTCTCCAGTCATATCAGCTATTTTTATAATTTTCTAATCACCTCTTTAGTCCCGCTGTTATTACCAGTTATTGCATCCATAGAACCCTTCTACCACTTCAGTTACTTTCCCATACTGCGAAATTTCTTGCAGTCAATAGCCAAGAATGTTACACATTAGATAGCCTCACTTCTTCTGCACAAGAAAGAAGGTTATTCTTCTTGCCCTCAATTTGGCAAACCTATCTATCAGCCTCTGTTCTTCATATAGTTCTCTGATTGTGTCAGCAAAGAAGTATCTTTTACTGGAAATAATCCATCTGCCTGGTCCCATTTAGCGGAACACATCACACTACTTGGTCAGTACTCTAGCAGCATAATCTTCATGATGCCCAACTAGGTACAATTCGACTTACATAATGATATTTGGGTTTTTTATAGATACGTAGTCAGAGGTTATTCATTTTCCATCATCGTGTGCTGTCATGTTTCTGCATCGAGTCTCTTGTATAAATATGAAAGTTATGCAATCAACAGTGCTACTTTAAAATTATGGAACTGGATATTTGCATTTTAGTTGCTTATTTTTCCTTTTTTTTTTGAATGTCATATTGTAGATGTTAACAAAGCGCTTGTTTCTCTGTAGGTTGGATTTATGTTTTGGAGATGGCTCTGAAGATCTTTTCATTTGGATTTGATGCTTACTGGATCGAAGGTCAAAACCGTTTTGATTTCGTAGTAACATGGATAATAGGTGAGAATCCGTGTTTAGTATTACTTATTGCTTTTAGTTCCCATAACTTGAGACAGTAATTTCTCTATATTGGCGTACAATAAAGGGCCAAGGGTCAAATATTCTGTAAATTGAACGTTGTTTCCAATTTGTCGTTGTTATTACTAGCCTGAAAAGAACACTGTTCTAATAATCAAAATATGACTAGTATCAGAGACGCTACACTAGCTACTATTTACTTATCTAAGTTTTAAAGTGAGCATATGTAAAGCTGCAAGGAGGACATATATACCCGGGTGCAAACTGAGTTTTATCCGCTTTCAATATAAACTGAAGTGTTAATGGGGTTGGGTATGGGACCAAAGCCAGACCTGTTTTATTTTTTGGATTGGGTATGCTACATGGGAAATTAATCTAACTTGTTAAGAGACCTGTTTTTCATGTGGATTTCTGTGCTTTTTTACTCAAAGATGGGCCTGATCAATTGAGTACCTATTCGTTACCTATTTTTTTTAACTTAGAAGTGCAGGTGGGTGGCGTTGTGTTCAAGTTTACCATACTTCATACTCAATCCCACAATAATTTTGGTCTGAAACTTTGGCCCATAGTTAACTGTTCGTCTATCTGTTCATGTATATCTGAGACGTCACAGCAGTGGCAGGTCTGTGAGGTCAGGAATTTGATTGACATGGCCAAGTCCAATTCCCACAATTCAGGTACTTGTAGGATTAGGCGAATGTCGTTCTACTTTCAGGTTCAAGTTAATCACATAAAAGGATGTAGAAAAGAAAAAATTATATGACACGATAGTCATTCACAATGCAGAGGCTTTGATTGAGGGAATACCTTTGACTTAGGTATTTTTATTGAGATTATGGTGATCTGATTATGAAAAATTTGTGTGTTCTTCAAATTTTTTTTAATTATCAATTTTGGGATTTCAGTTAATTGCTAGATGATATTTTTTTTTGTTTGGAATGGCTAAATAAAAAATAAAAAAGATAACAACAATGCCACAAAGATGAGATAGTTGAAATGATGTTCAAATAATGTCCAAGATCCTTTTGTTATCTAAACCTTGATAGTTGGAAAGAGATAGTTGAAAAGATGTTCTAAGATGAGATAGTTGAAAAGATGTTCAAATAATGTCCACGATCCTTTTGTTATCTAAACCATGAAGCTCTAATCTAACCCATTCATTCACATGCACAGAATATCTCATTTCCGCTTTTCTTTCTCCCCTTTCCACTTGTTTTCGTTCCTTACCTAAACCAAAATCATTGGATATAACATCCTTCTCAAGAGTCGAGAGAATGAAATTTCTTTCTTGTCTCTCTATCAAGGTCAAAAATTCAAAACAGGGAGATAAGAAAGGATATTATAGGCTTGGAATATATTTTCAAGTTTCCAATGTTCTTTTATCATGTAGTGATTTGCTTCAAACAAGACAAACCATGAAATCGTTTTAGAAATATATTTTTGATGTCAAAATCGGTAATGCATGGAAAGAAAAGCACAGTTGTCTAATATCAAATGATCTCGATCTACACAAGATTTATTACCAAAGCTGTATCCCAAACAAAGACCGCTATATGATGGCCTGTGAATAGCCTTTGCTTTGTATATGGTATTGCTTTCATTAAACTTAAACCCGAGATAAAACCGACTTGAGAGGAAAACAAGTAAATCATGGGATTGAATTTCTGGACATTAATTATGGTGGCATAGGGTATGAATCATGGAAGACCCCATCTCGACCTAACCACCTATAGCCCAAATTATATATGGACTATATTCGACCTATGTAATTCATAGTTATTTATCTCTAATCCACACATCCTACTATGCAGTTAGGAGTTCACATCTCGAGATATGTGTATGTAGCTTAATTTTATTCTTAATGAACCATTATTTGCATTTCAATATTTATTTGTAGATGATTTAGAAGTTAAAGTACCCGGCATCTCTTAAAGAATGAATGTACATCTATTTTACTTCTTAGTTTCCTGAAATTCAAGTGAATTTTTGTTTTTCCCTTGAATCTCATGCTCAGTTTCCATGAATGAGTGTAATGAAATGCAGTATATTGGATTGCACTGTGTCTGTGGTTGACATCTTTTCTTTGCAGTTATTGGAGAGGCTACAACTTTTTTCTTCTCATCTGAGCTGCCTTTTCTTTCTAATGGAGAATGGTAAAATTATGCTCTGTGATACATTTGCACATGTTCTTGATTCTTCATTCATTTATATTAAATACGTAATCTTCAGTTAAATATCTGAATTCAGGAAACTTTTTGTACATCAATAATTGGCATGCCTGGTGGAAAGAAAATAGAACAGCTGACACTGGCTTCACTTCTGAGGAATTCAAAGTTAAAACTTAATTTTTCCATGGAATAATACATATATGACTATGCAAAAAACTCTAATAAGTAATCTCTCTAAACATAATACCCAAAAAAAATCTCTCTAAACATTAAGTACCCCAAAAACTAAAACAGGGACATCAATAATTGTATCTCTGACTTAAGGGTGATCTTATTCCTTCAAATGAATTATGCATATTGTCTCTTAGGGCTTCTACTTTAGTGCTTGTTTTTATAATCGACTCAAAACTTGGCTTTTTCTGGGATATTATTTGAAGAAATCTAGTTGTAGGCTTGTAGCACTTATTGCTCCTGATTATTGCCATTGGTAAACATATCATGCTATCTGCTGCCTTATTAAAGCTGACTTCCTTAGTTCCACCACAAATACTAAAGTCTAGCTTAGTTTTTTGTCTTACATAATTAAGGTAATAGACTTTCGTCCACCTATTTTAACTATTATTTCTGGCATCAATATTGGATATGTTTTGACTTCATATTGTCAATCGTTAGTGACAAACAAGAGTAGCATGGGGACACTGGAATACTGAACATGGTAATCTTTCCATAACAGAATTTCGGACACAACCTAACCATAAATTTATCTGTAAATAATTAAATTTTTCCTTAGAAGAAGGGGGTGGGGTTGGGATAATGTACTTCACTTTGGACATAGTTGAATAGAGGTTTAAGCACCCGCAAAATTGAATATCGATGGGCAAGCATTCTCTGGCTGGCCATGTCTTACACCATTTTATTGCAGAGGGAAGACCTTACTTGTCACACCCTTCTTATTACTTTCTCTGCCTTATTGTTGCCTTTTGTATGCTATAATTTGATCTCCCATATATGTACGTAGTTATCTCTTTATTGATATTCACTAGAGCTGTATGTATACTTTCTATTATTGGCATGTGTCTATTTGTCTCGCAGTTTTTGAAGCAGCACTCTTTGGGTCTTCCTTTTTCCATTGACTAATATCGGGGCGGGGGGGCTTTCTTTTTCCATTTTCCAACTAAAGTCTCCATGATAGACGTTGTAGCTCTACAACCATAGTGAATGTATGCAACCATGCATAGTGTATTGACTATGAACTGAATATGGTAGACAGATGTAGTTGCTGGTATTATGGTATATTATATAATACATTATAAACTCGTCCAAAACAATAGGAGAAATACATGGCCTTGTATTATGCATTTATGCTGTACCAGCAGTATAGCAATCAA